TAGCCTATTATTCACGTTAAATTGAACGTAAATAGGTCTAAAGACGCGTGCTGGTACCCTGAAAGCAAATAATTGGCAATGGGAAAGCTTGGGCTATAATATCAAGACTTTTTGGGCATATTCTTCTGTTCTCAATGAATTTACTTTATTTGGCTCCCCTGAACAATTTAAAAATCCAAAAAACGCCATCTTAAAAAAATTATAACTCCAACAGTTTTCAAGCTACGGCAATGAGAGACATACCATTCGATTTGTAAAAACAATACCTAGCGACTCTAGAAGCATTTTTTTAATATGTGCATGGTTTGACTTATATATGGGTTCGGAGGGGGGTGGGGGGTAAAAATGTGAAAAAAATGGAAAGAACGCGAATAAAAAAAAACGATGAGGAAAATAAAAAATCGGGGCTCTACAGTCGCTAGATATTGTTGTTACAAATCGAATGATATGTGTCTCGACATTGTAGCATGTGATTTGCAAAAGTTATAAACTTTAGTTCCCCTTATTTGCCGTTTTCTATTAATTCCACGTTTTCTTTCATTTTTTTTTTAAATTTACATGAACAAAAAGGGTTTAGATTTCTGTTTTACATATGTGTACCAAGTTTCAAAACGATCCGTCTGTAAACAAAAAAGTTTTGTTGGAGGGTAGCCGGTCCCCTTAAGTAAAATCTAAAGGCTTTATCTATAAATGTAGCGGTAGCGCTGTAGCGACAAAACCTCGTATCGCTGCTTAAATATGTAGCGGGCGCTACCGCTACCGCTACATTGCCTTAAATGTAGAGCCGCTACCGCTACTGAAAATGTAGCGGCCGCTAGTAGCGGCCGCTACATGTAGCGCGCTACTGCCCACCTCTGGCGAAGAACAATGCAAAAGAGGAGTAGCGTCGTGAGTCAGAACTCTTTATTTGGCTCAGTAAGTAAAGTTATCTAATGAGCACCTATCAGCTGATGAATCAGTGTGGTGTGAGCTTACCCTGCAAAGCTAGGATAGCTTCTCGATCATAGGGTTCGGGTATAAATCACCTAACAGTACGTTCTTCTGTTATTTATAAGATAAATGACTGCCTTTTACCGAGCATTATATTCCGTAAGTCACACACGCTGATCGTTGGTGACTTTAACCATCCAGAACTAGACTGGACAGATGGATCCCCTCCTATAGGGATGGGATTCACTAGCATCTTTGTTCTTGGAGTCTACGCGAGACTCATTTTTAATCCAGACCCTCACCAATTTTAGGGGTAAACAGACCCCAAATATTTTATACATAGTGTTAACTAGTGAAAAATCAATATCAGATGGGCTTCGCCACAACACTCCGATGGGCGAAAGCCATCACCAATCATGGTTTTTCAGTATTAAGTGTTATACAGAAAAGACGCCTCGGAAGCGTGAACGTTTGAACTTTGCTAAAGGCGACTATGATAAACTCCGTGAAGCTGTGAATGCTGCAAATATTTCGGACGCTATTAAAGGACATGACTGTAGTCGAGTCATGGTCATTTCTGAAAAACAAGATTATGTCTGCAGTTCACTCATGTATACTCAAGATTAAGCTCGGTGGTGTCCAAAAAACACCGTAGGTCAACTGTCCGGCAATAGCTGAGGTAAAGACCAAAAATGAAGCCTAGCAGCGTTATTTACAAACTCTTAGCGAATATGATTATAACCTGTATGCAAGAGCTCGAAATCAAGCTGAGCAAATCTGTCGCACCGCAGTGAAAATTTTTGAAGCAGATATTGACAAAGAAGTAAAAAATAACCCGAAAGCCTACTTCTTGTACGTAAGTTCGAAGTGTAAGACAAATGACTTACCCAGTGGATAATTTATAACAGAACACGAGCGAAAGAAAACAAGCGGCGCGTCTTCCAAGAAACGAGAGCAGAGTGAGCGCGGCAGTGTTGCCGTGGCTTGGGTTGAATTTCTCGCTTTGTTCTAGAACTATCCGTGAATTACAGAATGAAATAAATTGTTATTACCAGAGCTTGAAACTATTACAAAATTGTCAGATCCTTTAGATATTAAGACTGGCCATGATTAACTGGCTTACAATTATATCGATTATATTCATTCTTATTTTGTTCTGCTCTACTTCCGTTTGCAACGACTGGTCCCAGGTGGCTTGTGCCTAATTAATACAGAATTGAATAAAAATAAATTTAAATCCTAATATATCTCTAGTAATCACTTCAACTACAAGATGATCTTGATCGGTTAGTTGACTGGACTGAGACGTTACAGCTGAGTTATAATGCTGGCAAGTGTAAAGTACTTCACCTCGGCAGGAACAATGAACAGCAAGATTACGGTATGAGAAAACATGGTTGCAACGAGAGAGCAATGATTGAAGAGACTACCGTAGAAAAATATTTGGGAGTTTATGTAGACAAGGAGCTGAAATTTTCTAGGCATGTTGAATAAATTCAATAATCGTTTTGGACTGATCAGACGCTGGTATGAGTTCCCAGTTGCAGAAGTGATGAAGCTGTTTGTCGCTGTCGTACGCCCGAACCGGAAATGCCGTGTAGTCACTGAAAAGCCGTGTAGTCGCTAAAATGCCGTGTAGTCACTGAAATGCCCGCTAAAATGCCGTGTTGTCACTGAAAAGCCGTGTAGTCGCTAAAATGCTGTGTTGTCACTGAAAAGCCGTGTAGTCACTAAAATGCCGTGTAGTCGCTAAAATGCCGTGTTGTCACTGAAAAGCCGTGTAGTCGCTAAAATGCCGTGTAGTCACTGAAATGCAGTGTAGTCACTGAAATGCAGTGTAGTCACTGAAATGCCGTGTAGTCACTGAAATGCCGTGTAGTCACTGAAATGCCGTGTTGTCACTATTAAGGAAATTTCGTGCTTCCTTAGACGAGAGTGAAAGATGATTCGACACAGGAACTTTATTGGTTCAGAAGTGATTTCTGTAACAAGTGGAACTATAACAAGACATTAACTTCAATCGTGATATAATAACTGGTATATGTATCAACTGCGGTTTCAATTACCTAGTAAACAAATAAAGATCGGTAAAAATTGACATTGGTACAAAAAAGACCATATTCAAACAAGAATCTTACCGAATCATCGGAATAACTAGGTTGCTTTGAGACGTAATAAATTCGAGGTCGTGGTACTATACTGCAAACGTTATACAATCTAACTGAGCGTGACGAGAACCATATCACCTAGCATCGGACATTAAGGGTCGAACCGATTTGCTATCGAGAGACCTCAACAGTCACTAAAAATTGAAAAAAAAAAATTTTAGTAGAGCGTGTTCGGGATGTGCGACAAGGACAATTCCAGGCTTAAAGAGCCAAACAACAACAGGGGCCACGGCTATAAACTACAACGTTGTTAACGTTATAAACTACGTTGTAACACATCCATGCGACAACATTTCTTCTCGCTTCGAGTCACCGACATGTGTAACAGCCCCCCTGACGATATTGTTGACACTCGGAGCCTGAACGCGTTCAAGAATGGACTAGACTATCCAATTCAAAAGTATATATTCAGTTTTGAAGCGCCCAGCACCCTACGTAACTAGTTAAAATTCAGTGTTGATGTAAACCAACATCAGTTAAACATATCTATCAAAAAGCCAGTTTTTATATCGGTGAACAAGTCACGAAAAGTACAAGAATCGGCTACAGGGCCAAGCAGGCCTATTTATTCGGCGCCAAAGATTCTATGCTATCTCTATACCCACAGGTTAATAAAAAATCGTTATATTACTCTTACGAATTTGGTAATAAAATAGTAATTGACTATTAGTCATGAGATAATTACTCCACCAAATCGAATGATGTCGTGTATTTTAAGATATAATTAATTTTTCCTGCAAATTCTGAATTCACCGCGTTCATATTTTGATCACATGAAATCATTTCGTATTTCAGTTAGACTTATTAGAATGACAGTTTAAACTAGAGTCCTGAATATCTTTTATAATTCTGCATTGATATTTTTGGATTGGGCTAAAGGAACCCTGCTGGATCATTATCGAAAATATGAACTACAATTTAAATCCCATCCGGTCAGGCTAGTCTTAAACCATCTCCCAAATAATGGTTGCCTACGATTGTCTAATCGTTAATTGAGAATATCAATAAAATACTACCCTGCTTGCAAGCGCTAACCATTGCCCGGTTAGTGGCCCACTAATTACGCTCGAGCAGCACATCATGTAAGGAGCCAAGGCTGTGGACTGTAACCGCCTGGAACAGGTTTCCTGCACTGAATTTAATTTTTCTGTGCCCACTTCGTAAAATTACTTGGAAAATGCTTTATACGTAATATTATTATTGTGATGCATTTGCTGTTGAGACGAGAAACTCCTACCGCATATCTGTGACCTTTGTGCCGTCGCGTGACTGTTATTGCATCATCGGATGTTGATGTCATGGCAATTTCGTGACTGTTCATAATCCTGCGGGACAATTCGCTATTAACATGTTATTTCGTGTTATTATGTTATTCTTAGAGTCGCATTACTTGCATACATGGATAATTCATTTATACTATCATTTTTATAACTTTTTATCGCAATTATGTACATTAATTTTTAATTTCATTTAATAATAATTTTTTGTTATGAACAACGATAATATTGATTTATTCTAAAGCAAATCTACATTCTTTGTATTGCTTGAAACATAACAAATTTATTTGTCAACGCTACTACCACTCAATGAAAATTATAACGCGGCAATGTAAACGCAGATGTCACATCGAGGCCTAGATATCAGATTTTCGGGGTGATAAAAGATGGTTTCAGTAAATTTACTTGGTTTCTTTTGCAAAAACATGAACATTCATCTGTCAAATTAACAATTTTGAAACTTAATCATTTTAATATATTATCAACATAATTACATACATATAATGCTGATAATATTTACTTATTACATAACAGTAAACCTTTAATAGAAAATATGATGTAGAGTGTCATTTAATGTGAGTCAAGACGACAAAATTTGTTCAAATATCTGTTTTCTTTCAGGAACGATGGCGGGGTGCAACTTTTATCGAAGATGGGCGAGCTTTGTGCTGCTCCTCTCCTGCATCTCGACATCTACTGCTTGTATTGTTTCATCTATAGGTGGAGGAAGTCTATTGTACCAGTCAAGATATGGCGCTGTAACTTCCGGAATTAGCCGCCCGGAACCCACAACTAACGACCGACCCACACAATTCGAACCTAGCCAGAATTCCTACGGTGACGGGCACGATAGATTCGGCCAAGCAACACCCAGCGACTATTCAGCGGCACATGGAATTCAAGAGTTCACTCAAGAGCTAATTTTAACTTTCCGAAATTTAGGCATTAGTGATAATGTGGTTTTTTCTCCGATCAGTGTTGCCAGCCTTTTGTCTCTGCTAACTCTAGGAACGAAAGGAGTTACATCTCAAGAAATTGTAAGGGCCTTGGGTTTATCGAACTCTGATAACTCTACCGCATACCACTCTCAGTACGAATTTATTTTGCGACGACTCAACTACGATACAAATAATGTCATCATAAACACTGTTAGTCGTATTTTCGTAGAAGAAACCACCCCTGTCAGTGAAACTTTCGTATCGCAGGCTGGTGAACATTACAACTGCACCGTAAGCTTCGAAAATTTCCGTGAACGGCCCGTCCAAACCCAGACTCGCGTCAACCAGTGGGTGGAGGATGCAACGCAAGGTAAAATAAAAGACTTCATCTCGTCTCCTTTTAGCCCAGACACCACATTTGTAGCAGCCAATACCATTTATTTCAACGGTGCTTGGGAAACTCCTTTTCCAGTAGACTTCACGATGGAAGGCCAATTTGACACGGGAGTGAGGAACATCAGCGTTCCTATGATGACCAACGTATTTGACACCAAACACTATTATAGCCGTGAATTCAACCTCGACATCACTGCCATCCCGTGCGTTGGTGGAGAACTTTCAATGATAATCATCTTGCCCAGAGAATCTCCGCGAGTCAAGTCTATCCAGGCACTTGAGAGACAGCTTGACCCCAACGCAATAAGAGAGCTAATCTCAAAAATGAAGAAAACCACGGTCTCCCTCTCTCTTCCTAGAATGCGTTTGAACATGAAGACCAACATGGTTTCCAGCTTGAAACAACTTGGCATCAACAGCATATTCTCCCCCACGACATCTGATTTCAGTGGACTGACGAGTAAGAAGCCAATTTGGATCAGCGAGTTCCTCCACGAAGCCATCGTGGAGATCACCGAAACCGGTACCGTTGCTGCTGCCGCCAGTGGAGCAATGATAAACCGCATGGGAGGACATAGACGTATCAACGTCAACAAACCTGCCATAATGTTCATTAAGGACAACGTGACACGTCTGCCTATCTTCTGGATGCGGCTTGTTGAACCAGATAGGGTTGAGTCATAAACAGGTACCGATTGGTGTAATGAAAATTCTCCAATGGTTTGCTCTCTGCTTCATCAATGCAAATCATGTCGAAGTGCAAAATTTCTGAGTGAGAGTATTAGATAAACCCTAACTTATTTTATTTGTGTGAGAATTTACAGAAACATCATTCCTGGTACATCTGCCGATAGCTAACTTATTTAAAAGCATTTATTGATCTCTTAGATCGCCATAATTAAGCATGCGTCGGATTTTTATTTTCGCAGGATCATTTTTAAGATTTCTAGACCAATTTTTTGTACACAGAAAAATCATTGGACTGCTGGGAATCTTGACCATGAAATGTTTGCGCGTTTCGTTTAGTTTATTGCACTAAGAGAAATGTATCGATGGGGTAAAATGTCATTCGACAAAAACAATTTTCACAATTGAAACTTTAGCTCCAGCTTCAGTTGAATTTTGCTCTGAAAAAAATTACATAGTCAATTTACTTGAAAAGAACATTCTTTTCTCTTAATTTTGAGCTAAGCTGATATACGTTTTGCTTAAATTTATGTGTTAAAATATCATAATAAATATTTAAAATACTCAGTTAATTTACTTAAAAAGAGCATTCTTTTCTATAAATTTGGAGATAATTTAATGTGCCTTTTGGCTAAAATTCTTATTAAAAATATCAAAATCGAAATTAATAACACATGGTCAATTTATTTTAAATGAGCGTTCTTTACTCTAAATTTTGAGCTAAACTAATGTGCATTTTGGCTAAAGGTACGAATTAAAAAAATTAAAAATACGTAGTCAATTTACTTAAACAAGGGCATTATATTCTCTAAATTTAGAGCTAAAATAATGTGCGCTTTGGCTTAATTTACCTGTTAAATATATTAAAATCAAAATTAAAAATACATTATTAATTATAATTGGTATTATTATACAAAAATACATTATTAAAATATTATTGTCCGGCTCCAGCACATGCGCGGGTCAAAAACTCTTTAATGACATTAGTCTGAATTAAAGCGCTCTAATTTACCGTTGCTGCCTGTGAGATCTGGAGTAATCTTGAACTTTATTGCATGATCTTGATGTTTTTGCGTTCGGTCAATGAACAACGATTGGGAAATGATTTAGATTTCGGTCACGAGTAATAGGAAAATAAAAAGTTTCTGTTGAGATGGAAATTTCTTGTAATTGAACATATAAGGAATTGCTCATTAATGAATGATACTCAAGAAATTTGAACTATAAACCGAATCCTCTGCCCAGTGGACCACCTGCGATTTTTACTTGGTTGATTGCAAGTTTGCAAACAAGGAATATTTTTTGCGTCGGGCCAAATCACAGCCACAACTCACGCTATCCCACAGTATATTTGATTGTCAGACCACATTGGCAGCAATTAGAATCATTTTTTAGATAGTGATGAATTTTAAATGTTCCTTCGAAGCTTGCTCAGACCCAGGACACTAATCGTAGTTGAGATAAAAAATTTAATGACTACGATCAAGTTATCGGATCTAATATTTTGCCCACGAATATTACGCTGTTATTGTCCATTATTCATCATCGAATAGAACTATTTTTCTAGCTGCATACAGCGAAAAGAATATAAATGATAAACGAACAAAAAACAATTTGCACTAGAAGACTAAAATAATTCTGAAAAATGGAGATTTTGTTGTGGTCTTGAAGAGAAATTATTCATTCTTTTTTATTGTTGGAAATGAACTATTACTTCATTCATTCACAGGCCATTGTATTTTCAAGTCGATCTTAATCTCACAATCTTCTCTGTGTGTGTGTGAATCATATTGGCTATACAGACTGAGCTCAAATCTACTAAACACATTGTGTATGGATTATTTACAGGATTTCTCCATAGCTTCATTTACAGAATCTCTCCAAAGCTCTCCATACGCTTTGTTTTATGGAGGCTGACCAAATTACGGTTACGCCGTACGCGTGTAAATTCTTTAGATAATTAGTGAATCCAGGTTGAAAAGCTACACCAGCTATTTCTATACACTCTAGTCGCGTCTTATTAAGTTTTTGTACTCATGTAAACAACCTCAGTATCTAGTGCACATCAAATCCTAGAACGTACTTTCGTGTAGATAACTTTACGATAATAATGACTAAGCATATACGGTACTCACTATATTTATTCGTATCAATTTTGTCACTCTATTTATGAGCGTGCACAAATGCAATCACTATATTAATGTTTATGTATGCTACCTCTATAACCACGAATATCAGAATATGCATCGTATAACTTTATTTTGAGTATGCTTATTATAACGAGTATGACTATTATAATTTTATTAATGAATATGCTTCCTTTCATTTTATTAATGATAATGCTTGTTGTCATTTTATTTTAAACCATGATTGTTGTCACCCTATCAATGAGAGTACATGTAATTATAACGTCATTGTGTTTATGGGAATAAATGAAATGCTACGAGCAATTTCAAAGCTAACGCTACTCAGAAGGCGATCTATAGTATACGTTGCCGGGATTTATCGGAACTGATTTTCTTGCGTTCGTGTGTTGATTACCAATTAAACAACAATTCAGGGATATTCCGGTCATGTGTGACTGGATGATAAATTCTGAGCCCTGAGATATCCATTCATTAAATATCCCAGCGATACCTCATAAAGGAATTAAATGCAAATTATCAAAATTACAGGCTCTAATTACGACCACAAGCGATTTCTTAACGATGTGTGGTTGAATATTCATTGAGTGAACTTAACTTATCGATATCTTACGAACTCTGACAAAAATTTACTATTTGACGTGTAAAGTTTCCGACGGCAGTTTCTTTGTTACTATATTGTTGAGTCAGCGATAACACTAACATTTGTAAATCGTTTATAAATTCAAGCACAAAAAAGAATTTCAAATACGTGGACAAGGGCCCTGAATCATAGGGTACATTTTTGTCTAGAGGCAGTTAGTGATTGAGAAGTAGAAAAAAATAGTTTCAGGCTACGGGATGTCTCAAGTGTTCATGCATTTTTTTCAATTTGGATGTATTTTTTCAAGAGAAACTCAACATCTTTACTAATTGATCGCAAAATATCAAGACCTGCAAATCATTATCACAAGTATCTATTATCGATAATATTCACCCCAGTGTTCTCTATTGAGAACAATTGAGTTCATTCAAATCATCAAATTTGTCAAGGTAACAAAATCTCAGCAACTGGTCACTGCAAATGCTTATAAAATCCAGTAGATTCGATTCAAATATTGACCTAGATTGAGATATTTTTTAATATGTTTGATATAATACGTATAATTTAATGGAATCTGTGATCTGAAATCGCAAAATAGACTTCGTTGTTATCGGTATTAATATAATTCAATGGTAGCTGCGATCTGAAATCACAAAATTAACATTGTTGTTATCGGTAATAATATAATTTAATAAAAACTGCGATCTGAAATCACAAAATCAACTCTGCTGTTATCCGTATTTATATGAGTTTCAGCTGAGCTCTGCAAAATTCTGATCGGAAAGTCAATTTTGATGACTCAAATGGACGAAGGAAGTTACGCCTTTTGTTGGTGGACGTTACGGTGGCCGGGGAAATATGGCCGTCGTTTCATTGAAGAATAATGGACAATAGTGGACCAGGGTTGAGCAATAGAAGGTAAATCTCTCCATTTAGAAATTAGAAGACTCGAAACTTCAGAGAAATACGTTTGAAAATAACATGGAATACGAAAAAACGAAGCGCCCCCCCTCTCCCCATTACTCCAGGAACAAAAAATTCGACATCAACGACTGGCCGAAATATGGGAGACGTTGTGCAGTTTTTACCTCCAATCAATGGGGCGAGTTGAACAATCTTTGTTCTCGAAAGAGGCCTGTAAAACATATATATATATGATTCCTTGCACCGAGATTTGCGGTCATTTATTCGCGTTACTTGTTAGTGTAGACGTGTTTGAGCTGGTGTGCACTTCACCAAGAAATTCGTGAGCGGTGTTCCGGTGAGTAGTGCGTTGATTTCAATAACACCGATACTGCAGTGAGAGACTATGTTTGTTAGCGCTTGCGATTTACAAGAATTTGCTATAGCTCTTCTTTTCTCAGTGATGATGAAAGATCGGGATGTCGCAGAATTTTTCAATATTGAAGCAAAATGTAAAACATAAATTTCCAACATTAATTTTGTGGAAGGTAAACAAAAACATTAAAAGATGCATGAAAGAAAACAATGAAAATGCAAAATGGTAAACCAAAACATTGCAAATGCACGAAACAATAAATTCACGATATTTGCATGCGTAGTTTGTGTGTAGAGGCTGGTGATATCGAACGGTAAGGATTGCATAATTGAACGACCTTATCTTGACTGAAACCTCTATAGACTGAAGTTGCTAATGGAACCTGTAGAGAGTGAAGCGAGCCACATCTATGCATAATTCGTAATTTCGTTGCAAATGTACAAGTACTGATTGCCTCAAATGATCTCGAGACGAATGAAAACACACAATTACTCGATAAATGTTGAAGAATTTGTGGTTTCTACCACTTCACACGAAGCGTGGAATTTTTTTTCGATATTAGTCAATTTTCGAAAGCATATATTAATGAAACTTTTATCATTACTATTGGCTTTTTTTTAAACACATGAGTAAATGTACATAGAGTCGGCAGATAAGGGTATCATAAGATTTTAATAATATAATAATAATAATATTTTTGATGTTTAACCTGTAATGTGTTTGTTGATGTAATATTGATATGTGCAATCTACAACAACCAAAATTATAGTAAATTTTCAGGATGAAATCACTCTAGGAAAAAATATTTGAGATATTTACCTGATCTTCATTTTATACATACCATTTAAATATTTGAAAAGCACTGAAGCGTATATACGCTGCGTTGCTCATGATGAACTTTTGTTACTAATTATAGTCACTAAATTTCCACGTAGGAGAATAACCTCTGAAGTTTATTACGGTTTGTGAATTACTTTGCGTATATCCATTTTAACCAAGGACTTTGAAAAAGTTTGGTCACATTTAAAGACGGCTAACATAAAGGCTTTAGCAACGTACGACGTACATTTTTACATTTTATAGTTATGAATAAGGAAGTTTGTTGATGCTTCGTGACTTTCTTGATCCTTTCGAATTTCTAGAATTTTTTATTAGTTCAACAGATGACTGTTGGAAGGTTTTCAGGTTTTTCATTTAAGTTTTATTGTCTTTTGCAACTTATTTTAGTGCAGAAAAGATTGGACAGTTTTTATTTATTGATGAATGTTATTCGAGCGAAAAAGCAAGTTCGCTGTGATAAAAGCCTCTCCCACTTATTCGAATAAAAAATGCCTCATTTTATCTGAATCAATGCGAGCATTTGAGAATTTTTTTACAACTTCAATATTTCTATTGTACATAATACGTATGAACCACATTCAACTAATTCTTTCTTCTAAACCAATTTCTGTGACATCATCAATAGTATTATGAAAGGACTTTTATATAAGAGGACATAATTCTGGTACATTGACGCATTACATCGCACTCCGGGTAATACAAGAAATTCATCTTTGTATTGTATCCTCATAATGTTTGAAGGCTTAAAGGCTTCCCAATTTTGACTGAGGTACTAAATTACTAGCACCTTCGTGCATCCTGACTTATTTATAAAAATACAAGGACTAGATGCAGATGAGCATGCAAAAATTTCTAAATGTTATTCAATAGGTAAGCAAAAATTAGTCGGAGACAGGGTAAAAACGAAGGGAGAAAGAGAGCGGAAGAAAAATTATACGAAAATTCTCTGTTCAAGTTACAATAAAATTTAAACATATATCACTCGTAAATAAAGCAGTCTCAAGCTTTAGCTAAGAATGTTTTGCTTATGTCTATTCAAGAGGAAATCACTCAAGTAAAAACTAAGTGGAGATCCTAGTTTTGTCTAGTTCACATGGCAAGCAAGTGATGAGATTTTAGTAGAAGATTGTACGTTAGGGAGTACGGTGAAAAGAACGCTGTTGTAAGACAAGAAAAAAATTTATACACTTGCCATTTTTTGTTTCATTCGTTGATTTTTGATGATTGCTATATGCAGAATAATAGAGTAACATGAGAGTGTAACATAAGTATGTTCAAGACGTCCACACATATAATAGTTTTTTTAGTCACACTTCAAAAAGGTCAGAGATATTTCTAGGATTTGTAGATCATTGAACGGAAAAATACTACTAATGTTTGAAAAGATAATTGAAATATTTTTAGAAAAATTTGAGTATGGAGTAATGATTAAGTAGGCATGACAGTTAGATGTCAGCAAAGTCCCTGATCAATAGGCAACTCCGAACAGAATAAATCATCTCCAATAAATGTGCCGGCATACTTGTTGGATGTTGAAGGGTTATTAAGTGTTACCTAGCATCACATTGCGGGCAATGAATTATTCTCCTTAAATTACTGATCGTCAGTTGAACAATACGTATTATGCAAAGATATTAATGTTTGAATGCTTTACTTCTTCAATAGAACAATATTATTATTCAAATCGAATCAGGTAGAGCACAGATAAATAATTATATTTTCATTAATAAGATCCGGTGGCAGATGATGTGCTGATGGATGTATCAAGCGTGTATTATATTTTGCTGAGCTCTAAAATACGTATAATTCTTGATTTCTTTTATACGATAAATGATATTTGCTTATTTACTTTCAAGTCGCATTAAAGGTTTTGCTGACAATTGGAGGCAGGTAGGAGGCAGACTCAATACCAGAATTTATAGAAAGACAAATTAACTATAATAATATTTCCGCGTATTGCTAATGCGATTATCAAGAATTTATAAATCCCACGAAGGGCAAATCCTGAAGTAACTCGTTATGTGGCAAATATTAACATCTGAGCTCATGCAGTGAATTTGATGACAGCACCTAAGAGCTGGCTAGCTGAAACAGCGGTTAATCCAGTATCTGCATGTACAAACTTCGTGTCATTATATTCTAACAGCTTAACTTAGTAAATTTTCTTACATTCCAGATTAGAACTCATAGCTATGCTTCCGTGAATTAGACTGTGCAACTCACTCACGGTCATCATGCTATCAAGCTAGACTTTGGTGCTCCAAGCTCAGAATAATTCAGGCAGTCAAAGGATTATTTTTAGGGTTTTTTCCTAAATAAGATTTTGATTTCTTAATAGATGACTTAATAATTAAAAGCTTTTAATGATCTGTAATTATAATCCATATATTATTCGTATACGCCACACAGATGTTCATCACTTATCTAAAGTTCTTTGATGAAAAGATCGATCTATAATATCTCATCTCAATACCATCAATAATTAACTTACATTGGAATGCGTTCCGCCGTTAACAACAAACGGGTTTAAAAAGAATTTATATTTGATCTAATATCAATATCATTGATATAAAAAGCAATTGATTACTCCCTTCAAGGAGTTGTTTTTGGAAATATTTGAGACTGAGTTGGGCTAGGACGTCTCAGCCGGACGTCCCAATTATTTTGATTTAGCGGGAATAAATTAAATTTGTATATTTGGCGGTCGTTGGGTTGGCCGACGATCAATCGCCGATGTTTACACCAAGTGTCTTCTATTGAGTAATAGCGGGGTTCTTGGTTTCGTTTCAGGAAACTTAATAGTTTCAAAGAGAACCATGAGTTTCTTTTGTGAATGGTTTTTCAAATAACACTGAAGGTGACACTGAACAAATGAAACAAAACAAATGACATTGAACAAATAACACTGAAATTCCAAGTGAGGCCTTGATTGATCAAAAGCGTGGAAGTTTTTGTTCAGTTTAGACGCCTATAGTCAACGGATCGAGTGAAGTGATCACTATACCTTCGTTGACCTTACATAAACTGACTCATGAACTTTAGCGTCATTACATGAACTTTAGCGATATTACTTGAACTTTAGCGCTATTACATGAACTTTAGCGCTATTACTTGATGTGCGATTGTTACTTGTTAGTTTCGGCAGCTGTTAGTCTTGCATTGTTTGCGCTGGTGTGCGGGTGACAGAGAAACGTTCAGCTTTGGTGATCCGAGTTGCGTGAAGGCGAGATATTTGCATTCGTGCCAGCATATGGGATGCAAAAATTTCAAACCATAAAAGTTGATGGTTACAAAATTTCCCACTGAGACACATCCTCTGATTCGGTGACCTTCTAAAGGTAAATATTGTAATCGAATCAAGTGTATATATATTTCAAAAGTTTCAATGCGCATACAAAAATTGTTTCAGCGAGACTTTTGTAATGGTTTATTCAATGTAGTATCGATATTCGTAAAAAAAACCTTGAGTCATCTTTTAAAATAATCAATGTTTAAAATATCACAATATTTAATGCATATCAAAAAATTACAACGTGAAAAAATCCATAAAAGTTTATCGGAAAGTTATTAGCATTTTAAATATCACGTGTAAATATCCAAAATTCATTATACACATTGAAAAAAAACTAAACTCTATTACGACGGCAAAAATAAAACACAAGATCGTGTAAACATTTTTTCATGCTGACCTGAAATTAATTTTTTACTTATTTTATATTTAAAATCAAATAAAATCCCCAAAAATTCCTTCTCTAGAAGTATGTGAACAACCAATCATTGCTGACACCCAACCATCAGCGAATAAATTTAACCACGCAGTTCCTGACAACGATTTCTTTGACAATTCGCCACGTGCGAGATATTCAAACAAAGGAGGCAATTCTCTTATTATTTTTACTGGGTGTACAACTTCGTTGTCTTCTAAGTAACTTAATTGGTGCACATGGTTTTTATGATGACGTGATAAATTTTTTACAATATTCAGATTTAACTGGTCCATGCTATCCAAGCTGATAGTTTCACCAATATTTCTCACGTATTCATGCATTGGAGTAAAATAGCTATTATTTCAGACACTATTTTTTAAGGAACTATCTCTGAAAAAACTATCAGGCCGGGTTCTCACCGTCGAATTACAGGTAAAGCGTAAAGTCTTTGTACTTTACGACTGGTGAATGAAAAAGTCAATATCAACTTTTTATTATTTAAGCCAATTCTTGACAATTACCGTGGCCTTTGGACATGAAAAAAACTTCACCTAACATATTTTTCATTGAATAGAGCCACAATCCGTTTAAACTCACGCTCTCGGATCTGCATATTTAAATTGGGAATTTTTTGTTCCAGTCCACTTCCTAGAACCAACAATGGCGAATTGGGCTATCAATATAACACATTCCATAAAAAATTCCATTTCATACCATTTAATACCTTCGAATTTCATATCATACCCCGGAGAAGCTTCCAAAAATTCCAACATTATATATAAAAAATACGTTAGAGTGAAAAAATTGTCTCAGAAAATTACAAATAAGAATAGATTGAAAAAAATTGTACAAAAGAGAGTGAAAGTCTTATTCTACGATATATTTTACAGTACCTGTTGTGAGAGATGGTATTAGAATCAGTACGCCAAATATAAAATAAAACCATGTCTATAAAGCTTTAACTCTCATATTTAAACGGTGGAATGGACAGCTCACAATGTGCGACTTTCACTAAAATAAATGAACGCCATACTGAAATATTTTTTACTCTTGGTAATTTTAACCCCGTTATTTTTAACTGAAAATGCCTATCGTAACTTAATTTAAATGTAAGGGCACAACAAACAAATATGGAGCCTTGATAAGCTGTGGTTCTTCTATACATTTTACACTTCACATTTTACACCGCATATTTTACATCACATTTTATACCTCACGTTTTAGGTTTCACATTTTACACTTCACATTTTACGTTTCACATTTTACACTTCACATTTTATACGTCACATTTACACTTCGCATTTCACATTTTACAATTCACTTTTACACTTCACATTTTACATTTCACATTATACTCCTCATCAAATTTTACACTTCTCATTTTACACTTCATATTTTACATTTCACATTTTACACGTCACATTTACACTTCACTCTACATTTCACATTTTACATTTCACAATTTACACTTCGCATTTCACACTCTACATTTTGCACTTCTTATTTTACACTTCACATTTACACTTCACATTTTACACCTCACATTTTACACCACACATTTTACACTTCACATTTTACACTTCATTTTTTCACTTCACATTTTACACTCCACATTTTACATTTCATATTTTTCACTTCATATTTTACACTTCACATTTTACACTTCACTTTTTTAAACTTCATATTTTACACTTCACATTTAACGCTTCATATTTTTCACTCCACATTTTACACTACAATGCACAATTTTAGTAGTGTTTATCAATTATTTACAATGGATGCGGCTCCAGATGTGATCACATTTCCCAGTCTACCTTTGAGTGCGTACGTAACCTCGTTGAAATATTCGACACTGGAAATTATAACAGATCGGCTTGACATAAAATTTATCCATAAATATAATCAATATTTGCGAATATTTAGTCAGTTCGTTGTAAAGTAAGTTAAGGTCAAAGCTCGGTTGCATGCCCTAAGATACTCTAAAGTGACGGAATACTTGGCTATGAGGGGATTTATGTAAATAGAGAATCATTCGTTAGTGGGAATTTTCACAGTCCTAATTCAAGAAATCATACAACCATCGTATGAGAGCAGCTATAAACGCATTAAAAAAAATTACCGAAAAAATGGTGAAAATCAAACCATTTGATTCCGAATATGAAGAAGAGTGGATACTATTACGTTATTATAAAATTGTAAACAATAGAGAAATACTTAAGATTACTTTGCATTTGAATATTCACCATAACATAAATTTTATTCATTTTTCGGTTATGAAGGTATATACGAAAAAATACATGTATATATACGCAAAATCTACATTTCTTGATTTACATAAAGTTATATACACAGGAAACACCCCAAAAAAAATGAATCAATTCAATTGCGCTGATAACAAGCAGACTAACAACATTTTGTTTATTGAAGGACAGGATTACAAAAGTCGCGACGTTTAAAATATATTCAATTTATGGCCTAATTTTAGCAATACTTTCAGTGTGCGGATGTTAATAATTTTTCAATTATAATTTACAGCATTATCAGCAGTACGCACGATCATCATGCTGTTATTCCGGACGTTGGCGCTCTTCCTGGCGCTGATGCAGGCATGTCAGGTGCCCGGGCACTGGCTGTGCGATGGCCTGGCCTGCCCCAGCAACTACTCCGTCAACGCGCAGCAGCGCTCCGGCCTGGACATCTACGCAGCGGGCAACTGCTTTACGCACATCAAGCGCCAGACCGGCGCAAAAGGACCGAAATGCGTGGCCATGTGCATGAGGGAGGGATGTGTGCACGCCATCACAGGGGACGGTTTGTTCAACTTTCACGAATCATCAACTCACGATCGTGAGAAAAAACGTTCCTTTTTAGCGCATTTTCTCCTTTATGGAAAAAATGCACTATTGTGCTCGCCATGTCCGTCTGTCCGTCCGTCTGTCCGTCCGTCTGTCTGTCTGTCTGTCTGTCTGCCTGTCTGTCTGTCTGTCCGTCTGTCCGTCCATGACTTAACGTTTTCGTCGACGAGAAAATGCGCTCTGTCACTCACTGCAGTGAGTACTGAGTTATATTTTTATGATCTTTACGGTTTTGTGTCACTCCCGACAAACAAATGGTGCACCTGACGGCCTCCTCTTCGCCCCAATTTCCCCAGTGTTAATTCCGTAGGGTTGGAATTAAAGGTTGAATGGTTCGTAAGTTTATTGACACAACCGAGGAGGCAGACGCCGAGATAAAGACTGACGTAATCTGACTTACGTCCTGCTATAGTAAATAATAGTAACGCGTAGCTACTGGTTCTATATGAAAATATACAAATGTAATTACACAAATTGCACACTCCGCCACGCAGAGAAAATGACTCAGCAATAAGAAACACAAGTAGATCAATACCCACTATGTACAACAATTCTTTAACAATGGCGCTGCAAACGGAAACTTCAAGTACTTAAATATTTACAGTAGACTAAGCTGTATCAACATAGCTATATTTGAGAAGTTTAACGGCTTCTTGATATTCTTCACTTGTGTGATTAAAGCCAACCATTAGTTGGGAAGCCTCGCCCCGCAACTGCGATAGCAGGTAATGGAACTTACTTGCGTCTGACACATCGGTGCGGTCGTGAATCGAAGTTTTATACAAGTCCCAAAATTGCTGCCACATTAGGATTGATCCGTCAAAAAATGGTAAATTTATAGTTGGTAATTTGACCATCTTCGGCGGATGAGGTTCGGGGCTGCGGATCTCGCTGGCGAGCTTTGTATTCCTTTCTAACATTCGTTTGTCAATAATCAAGAGCGTCTCGGCTATATGAACACTGACAACAGATGCCTCAGCAATATCATCGTCAATATCAGCAACATCGATGGTATCGGCAACAATCTCGTCAAGCTTGACAATAGCATCACGTTGTTTGCACAATTCACCTCTCAATACCTGCAGTTCCTCGAACCGCAGAACGTCTTCGGCTAGAAGAGCTTCAATTCTTCTACGCAACTTCGTTACCTCGGCTCTGTGCCCTCCTCTCTTCTTGATAGCGCGGTCTGCCATCACGACTAACTTCAAAAATCAGTCTAACTGCACTGTTCGGATCACAACACAATCCTGGTCACGGCACCATGTTAATTCCGTAGGGTTGGAATTAAAGGTTGAATGGTTCGTAAGTTTATTGACACAACCGAGGAGGCAGACGCCGAGATAAAGACTGACGTAATCTGACTTACGTCCTGCTATAGTAAATAATAGTAACGCGTAGCTACTGGTTCTATATGAAAATATACAAATGTAATTACACAAATTGCACACCCAGCCCGAAATGGGAGCGCACAAGTTGACTAAAATTTAAAGCTTTGTCAAGGCGATTTTTCATTTCATTGCCAACTAATCTGAATCGAAAACGGAAATTCAACAGAAAAATTGCTCCCACTCGATTACAAGATTTTAGTGCCAGACCAATAAATTAGGATAAATAGTATCGAGATCGATGGAAGGAGATACGTCTCTCCCGAGTTGTAAGCAGATGTCAAACTTTTTTACCATTCAATTCAATAAGAAAACCAGTGGGAACTTTCAACACTATTTGAGTTTTGAGAATTTTGTGTTTTTCCAAATAGTTAATGTTGAAAGTAGATTTAATAAGCATCTAGTTGTGTTTCATTACTTTTTCAATAATTATTTTCCTCACAAAAGAGGTAATCTCTTATAAAAATGATAATTTATGGATATTATACATCACAAATAGCTTGGGTCTTCGCCCTCTAAGCTTCCGTCTGGATTTTATTAGGAATTTAAAGAGCAAATTTTCTATCACGGTCCTTAAATTGGGGATAAATTCCTGCTGTCATTCGAACAACAATTCATGGGGTAATCTTTTGCAAATTATTAAATTATTTCATGGCAAACAAAGTTAAAATGAACTACAAAGTGAATCTTAAAAAATAAACCCATTGATCCCTGATTAATCCCCACCTGAAATTAATCCTTCAGTTGTGGGGTCTTTACTCGCATTTTCGACAAAAAGTTTTCAGTTGGGAGTATGTTTCATTGAATTAAAATTGATTTCAATTTCAATTGAAAATCAAAAACATGAAAACTCAATGAATTTTTCGAGCTTGATCGAGATCGATTTTCAATACCATATTAATTTTAATCACTCACACACGAGAACTTGAAAAAATGTTTGGAAAAAATTGCGCCTTCTTCAAGGAAGCGCAGATTCCCTAGATCCTGCAGTCAAGCCCAAAATTATCTATCAATATGAGTGAAAAATTAACTCTTTATTAAACATCATGAAAAGCATTAATAACCGAATCACATTCTAGTTTATCCCATTTCCCTTTTTGTCTTACTTTTACAAAAAAAATCGATATTAGCATATACCATGCATGTACTGGCCCTCGCGATGACATAAATTTTGATAATTTACAAATGTTTTTCTACAACTGTAGAACATAGAGTGATACGTAAAGTGTCCTGAAAGAATAGCGGAAATTATTAAAACAATAACACGCTATGTATTCTTATGAGGAACATGACAAAACGCAGATGGGTGCGTGTTGCTGGGCTCGGGTGTGTTGCCCAGCTACAACACAGGGCTGTACCGTCAGCTGGGAGGTGCCCAGGGCCCGCTGGTCGAGGTTGCCCGAAACAAGCCAGTGTCTGCATCGTCCGTAGCCCCTTCAGGTGGAGGCTTCAATTGGTTAGTAACTCTTATGATGCAAAAACATGGTATAAGCGCCTTTAATACATACGAGTCGAGTTTTTTTATTCTACAATTAGGCTGGAAATAAACATTTTAAGAATGAGTAAAGATTGAAGCTGTGGACATGCGAAGTATGCTAGTGACAGCCTTACTGTACGCAATTGTGATTAGATATGCACAATTTTCGCTAAGGAGCGGATTAAGTATCCCTGTTTATACGCGGAAATATATAAACCCGTGGGTGAATATCGCTTGTAACTGTGTTTCTGGGTTGCGGTTCGAGGACTGTAGAATATCACGAATATCAAAACGCATTAATGTAAAATAAAAAGATGTATCGTAATTTTTAAGTTTGCAGGCATATTTACAAGGATTCAGCAAAATATGCATTTTTTGTTCATTTACTTCCATTTATTGAGTTTCACTCGATTCTAGGAAAAAGGTAATTATAAGACCAAGACATTTTTTGTGTGGAGAATTACTCGCAAATTAAGGTTGTAAAGTTTTATGTCCTGTTTCAGCAAGTTCAACAATCACTCCTTCCCCGAATTGTAACTTACGTGCGATTCATTAATTGAAGAAAGAATAAAGTAATAGGAATAAAGTAATACGAATAAAGTAATACGAATAAAGTAATATGAATAAAGTGGTGCATTGTTTGCTTGCGTGAGCAGCGTTATAATATCTACAGGAAGCCAGAGAACGTCAACGACGGCATCACAAACAATGCAGTGCTGGACTTCTTCCATTCCGGTGACGGCGACACTCACCCGTACCTCTCGATTGACCTCTTGAAGCCCTACGCCGTGGTGAGCGTCTCGCTGCTGCCACGCAACGAGACCGGAGTTGGCTCGACCTCCGCTGGACGCACGCACAACCTCACGGTGAGTGAAATTCACGGTGAGTGCAACATACGGTGAGTGCAGCCTCAAGGCGAGTGCTACTTCATGGGGAGTGCAACCTCACTGTGAGTGCCACCTCACTGTGAGTGCCACCTCACTGTGAGTGCCACCTCACTGTGAGTGCCACCTCACTGTGAGTGCCACCTCACAGTGAGTGCCACCTCACTGTGAGTGCCATCTCACTGTGAGTGCAACCTCACTATGATTAGTACCTCATTGTGACCGCAGCTGTTCGATGACACGGAAAGTTCGATCTATAGAGAAGACGAAAAAAAGCAAGAAGATCCCTCAACATCAGATGCTTTTCATCGAGACATTCACTACAATGACTGCCATGAATTGTTTGAATTTTAATGATCATATGTCCATCAGCTGTACGTGGGCAACACGATGGTGTCGGATGGCGTGTTCGCGGGTGTGTACGAGCAGTTGGCTTTCATCGCGGAACCCGTGATCAACGCAGCCACTGGCGCCCCGGACTGGATACACGTGACCCCAACCACCCCACGCTGCGGCAGGTACTTCTTCGTCAAGAAGGAACAGGAAGCCGTAGCAGCATTCCAATACCTGGACATCGCTGAGTTGGAGGTCTACACACAGGACCCTTGAGATGCAGGTCTACAGGCTGCATACCCGAGAGAGTGGCGCGCACGAGAATTAATATGGATCGAGAATTAAACGAGCACTAACACGCACCTTTAAAGTAACCATGATTTTCTTTAATTATATAATTATATAATCACAATCAATTTTATAATCGCAGAGGAGGCTTTGCACGCCGCATCAGTTCAGTCAACAGTACGATAACGTTTTCCATTAACTTTCCAAAATATCTTGAAACGTACAAACAAACGTAATTTCAACTTAACAATATATACAGATATACAGATATTGGTGTAGTTCGGCAAAAGCTTCTCTTTTATGCAAGTTTGATTGAAGCCCAGAGCATGTTTTTTATTTACAATCTTCTTGTTCGTCTTTTCAATGAGTCGAACCAAATTTCTAGCTGGAGCCGGGAGATCGAAAAGCAGGTTTCCGAATGACATTTTAATAGATTGCGACGTTTCGAAAATACAATTTTCATTATCAAGCTGGTGAAGGTTTTACAACATCTGAAATTGAATTTGAAATGACAGAAGTACATATCAAAGGTAAAGTGGAGACAATACAAAATATTAGCTTAAAAATTACTCCGAAAATAATTTCAGCGTCCGGACGAATCCAGTAGTTTGGAGGTTGATAGCTGGAGGCTCGCTCTTGATAATGAGGGCCTCAGCTATCGTCAATCTCGATGGGTCGGGGCACCGCATAACTATGCTGGTGCAGGCCTCCAATGTCGCTCGGGTGATGGTCTCATTGTGAGCCTCCCGCATGTGGTTCTTAGGTCCTCCAGATTGTAGGTGGCATGTGAGTCGTCGGCTTAAGGTCGTGCTTGTTAGACCAATGTAGTTCATATTTTGAAGAAGTCTACAACCTTCTTTATTACATGAGAATTTATAAACCACGTTAGTTTCTTGAAGCAGACCAGTTTTTTTACAGGGATTATTATTCATTACAAGGTTTTTTATTTTCTTATTTTTGTAGTAGATCAGAAGTTTTATTTTTTCGTTATCCGTTGTGCTCTTGACATTATCATGGATAATTGATTGGAGGACTCGTTCATCCACTTTGTAGCCTCTGTTCATCTGGTTTTTGTAGAAGACCGTTGTGGGGGTTCCATTAGATATTGCTTCATTGTTGGTTCGGTTTTCTCTCGATCGGTAATTTGATATTTCATTGTCAACTGTTCTATTTGAAAACCCATTATTCACTAGAATTTGTTTACACGATCTGAGTTCGGTTTTCAAATCACTCTCGGATGTACAGGTCTTGAATGCTTTTTGTATGAGAGCGCGCACTGTGTTGGTTTTATAGCGCTGCGGGCATTCACTTTTTTCGTTAAGTACTTTCCCGACATCGGTAGGTTTTCGGTAAACATTAGTGACAAAGGAATTATCTTCAATTCGCACTAATATATCTAGGAATGGTAATTTGTGATTTTGTCCAATTTCATGGGTAAAAGTCAAGACTGATTCATGTTCCAGGCAAAGCTCTTCGCAGTTCGATCAAGTGCTCTTCGTCTCGAATGACAACAAAAATGTCATCTACGTATCTGCAGTAAAGCTCAGGCTTGATCTGTGCATTGAGCAACACTTGATTTTCCAGTTCACACATGTAGAATTCTGCAAAAGTTGGACCTAGATGGCATCCCATGGCCACGCCGTTAATTTGTCGGTAAATTTTGTTATCAGGAGTCCGGAAGGGAGATTCTGATGTACAGTGGCGAAGAATGTCAATTAAGATCTTTTTAGGTATAGATGGGGCTGGCAGGGTTTCGTGCGAATACACATGCTTCATGATAATTTCTAACGTTTCTTCGGTTGGTACATTGGTGAACAAACTGGTAACATCCAGTGAAGCTATATAGCAGGCCAGAAGGGTGCGAGGCATGAAGAATTTCCAGGAAGTCATTTCTAAATTTCAGAGAGTATTTCTTAGGGATATATGGTTTAATTATAGCTTATTATTTATATATTACTTATAGCTTATTGATAATGAAAATTGTATTTTCGAAACGTCGCAATCTATTAAAATGTCATTCGGAAACCTGCTTTTCGATCTCCCGGCTCCAGCTAGAAATTTGGTTCGACTCATTGAAAAGACGAACAAGAAGATTGTAAATAAAAAACATGCTCTGGGCTTCAATCAAACTTGCATATACAGATATATATATATCTTTATCTCGAATGACCCGCAACTTAATAACACCTCTCTACGTTGGATAAATTACAGAGGCAATCTTTATTAGAGCTAAACATCTGATTCACCGATAATAACTCAATGCTTGCATGTTCCACTGCACCATCACAAACTTTAGCCATGCGATGCACTTTTTGATCAGTTCTTGTCTTTATTTTAAGTTTCAAAGATTGGATCCTGAAGCTGCTTTTGAGCGTGTGAGCGTGTCGCTACTTCCAATCAACGAGTAGGAAAAAAGTTCAGTTGAAGGCAAAATGTTGCATTGTTCAAATTTTATTCCAGAAATTAATTAAGTCGGACGTCTTGCGGCTTACAGTAGCACATCTACTAATGCAGCATCCATTTTATTTAGTACTATAAACTTTCCTCTCTCCGGCTTGTGTTATTTCCCCCGCGATGAAGGCCAACTGCAGGATTCGATCTCCTGTCTGCCACACGCGAAGCAAAGCCTCTACCGTTGAGCCATCGGAGAGACTTGGAAGTAGAGTCATTTTAAAACATTTAATTGAAGTATTGTATATATTAATTTCATCCAAAGACAGAGGTTAGTGTTACCACCGTGATGATTAGATGGTTCCATCAAAAATTTTATTTAACGTGCTGCTTTATTCAAGTAAAATGCAGCCGCTAATAGAAACTTCGTTTATCCATAACGAGCGATGGTTCAGCTCAGAGTAAAAGCTAGATGAAAATGTTTAATAAGCATCGAAATTTCATAATGTGAACATTACACCAATTTTGACAGCGGTTTGATTAGAAAAATTTTCACCAAGAATGTTCTTGCGTGAAGGTAGGAATCGATATCATTCAATGATTTTGAAATGTCAGACGTGAAAGAACTGCATCACTTCGAATCACTATTTTTCTCTTTCATAATATTTATTTTTTGCGTAGGAAAGATACCTGGACCACTCTAGTAGGAATTTAGACTTAAAATCAAAATAATTATCAGATTTTATAAGCAAATTTCCCCTAAATAATTAAATTTCACTATCGAAGTCAGCTATAAAAAACGGAATATTTGTATCCCTCTGCGTAAAAAGGATACTTTTCTGACAAGCAAATTACCCAGAAAGCACATATTTCGAGCAGGACTTGGTAAAGATTTGTAGGAAAGAAGCTCAACGCCGACGGGAATCAACCCAACAGGTATGAACGTACGTGAAAACGTGTACTTCTCGACTTGCTCGCTTCGCTCTATGAGATGCCGAGCCGCTGTCGACTGCGTAAACCTGGCTTTAGATAAATGAGACAACTTGAGAATATTATAAATATTATGAAACATTTTAATCGAACCATACAATTTACAATTAATGATACAATAATTAGTCTGAATTGATCGCTATATTTCCAATATAGCCAGTAGGCGCATGGGCAAAATTCGCAATAAATTTACGATATATCTTAGGTGAACATGAAAAATTGGATTCTCCATCATTTTTTGAAGAACTGTAGAAGGACAATTTATATTAGGAGCAGTCTGATACACTGCCAGTGACTTCACTTTAGCCTGAAAATTTTGTGAACACTTTGCTTCTGCCAGTCAGTTAAACTCGAACCAAACGCATTCACGCTAAATTTTCTTATCAGAAGTCATGGTTTCGTCTCTATCTCGAATGACCCGCAACTTAATAACACCTCTCTACGTTGGATAAATTACAGAGGCAAATACCTTCGTGCACCATGTAGTTTGGGCAAACGGTTATCGGTGGCTTAAAAGATGCGCCATCGGTCTACAAAGCACCATCGATGATTCAGATGCACCATCGATGACTCCCACCTATACTCGCCACCCTCTCGATTTATTGCTGTTTTGTTGTCGATTTTCGGCAGATCTGGCCAATCACCGTTACGCCGCCTATATACTACTATCGCCCCCTATAATCACCGATGCGCCACCCTTAATTTTTATTTGGGAATGCATATTACACACCACACATCCTTCAGAAAAGATATTACCCATTAATAATAAAGCTATAAAAACGTGGAAGGAAGGTAACCCCAAATTTGCACCTTTTTCTTTAGGTCAATTGGTGATGAAGAAGGGAGCGCAGCCGTGCACCACCAATTTTGTGCACCAATAAGCCCTGAATCGAACGCCTTGGATCTCTCCGGACATCCACCAATCAGCCGTGCACCACTCGGCTTTGTCTTCCTCCGGCCTTGCATAAAACCTGCCGTGCACCACCAGACCGCGGATCGAATATGACTTCCGGGCATCGTTAAATTACGTAATTTTACGTTCACTGCATCTGAGGTTAGGTTTCAGATAACATAATTCTGTTCCAAATTTTATCATCCTTCGACTAGTGGCCGTTCGACCGAGGGCTGGTTCGACGCACGGCCTAGATATGATTGTCCAGAAGTGTTGAAGGCTACGTTCCGGAAGGCAGGAATCATGATGGTCCATTACATACAGGGCAGTGGTGGTCTTCGGCAGGCGACCCATGAAGAAAATTCGAAGGGAAGGTCATGGTCTAGGGGATAAATTATTTGAACTTTTTGAAGGTCCATTCAGAGTAGTCAAAGTTCACTCAAACGAACTAACGTACATTTTACCGAAGGAAAAGTATAACGAATGATAAGGGCAAAATAACTTACTTAGCTTATTATCGGCAACTTAAAGCATTTAAAACAATACCATAATGCTTAAAGAAATATATCAGTACCGAATGTTATGACTCGAAAAGAAGGATGAAAAAGGTTACTGTAGTGATACATCAGCATCTGATTAGCAGGCATATGCGATGTCAGCAGCGAATATAGTGCTCCAAGCACAGATGAGAACGATAAAGGCAAAAATTCAGTTA